TAACCTGGACTCATAGAAGCTCATGGACTTGGACCGACAGCTAGGAAGCCTGCATGGGACTGACTTAAGCCCTCTACATATGTGAGACAGTTCTTTAGCTTGATCTACTTGTGGGACTCCGAGTGGTGGAAGCAGGGTCTGTCCTTAATGCTTTGACTGGCTTCCAGAAACCTATTCCTCATAGTGGGTTTTCTTGCTCAGCCTTACTACAAGTAGAGGAACTTACTTCCTACCTTGACTTGATATGACAGGCCTTGTTGATACCCATGGGAGGCCTACCCCTTTTGAGCAGAAAGAAAAGAGTAAATTGAGGAGGGAGGTGGGAGAGAAAATGGAAGGAGAAGAGGGGGAACAGACATGCAGGAGGAGACATGCAAATCACCTGACAACATACAGATGAATAGAAATGGGTTAATTTAAGTTGTAAGAGCTAGTGGTACAATCCTAAGCTGTTGGCCAAGCTTTCATAATTAAAAATGGGTCTCCATGGTCATGATTTGGGAGCTAGCTGGTGGAACAGATAAAGGCTCACTACAATCTTAACTATTATAAATTAGCTTTGTCTGTTTTTTTTTTCAGTTTATATACCTGAAATACTGCATGAATTTTAAAACATGGCTTATTTTGTCAAAATTATCTTCTTGTGGTTCACAGGGCTGTCACCTACACCAGTATTTTGTTCATTTCCATGTAATACAAATATCCTCAGTCTCTTATGCTTGTGTTGCATACAAATAAGCTCACTTTAAGTAAAAAAATAACCTAGGTTGACATGCTTTAATTTACCTAAGCTATTGATTGCCACCATTTAAGAACACAGATGCTGATGCATCAGTTGTTTGATCTTAATTGTGAGGCTGACCATGAATTATGATTGACCAATACTGCCGGGCTTCATGAGCAAACATCATACACTGTCATTAGCCAAGAAACAACCCAAATTCAAAGCACTTCCTACAGAACATGAATTGCTTTTCTGCTGTAGCTAGAGTTTTCCTGCCTTGCCCACAGTCAGGACAAATCTTTGTCACCCGCCAGTCCCACAGCCACTCAGACCCAACCAAGTAAACACAGAGACTTATATTGCTTACAAACTGTATGGCCATGGCAGGCTTCTTGCTAACTGTTCTTATATCTTAAATTAATCCATTTTCATAAATCTATACCTTGCCACGTGGCTTGTGGCTTACTGGTGTCTTCACATGTGGCTTGTCATGGTGGCAGCTGGCAGTGTCTCTCCACCTCAGCCTTCCACTTCCCAGAATTCTCCTCTCTCCTTGTCCCACCTACTTCCTGCCTGGCCACTGGCCAATCAGTGTTTTATTTATTGACCAATCAGAGCAATTTGACATACAGAACATCCCACAGCATCTGCTATCATAAATTCAAAAAAATGTAAGTCACAGCACTGTAAATCAGAGACCATTTATATGTCACTGTGTGAAGGCCACATCTAAAATTAAATGCACCTCACTGTGGATGGCCATTTAGTTCATCTTCACTTGGGGGCAGTTACTAATAATGCTCCTACAAATGTTTTGGGTATCATTTGATACACATATGCATGCACTACTTTTGGACAAATGCCTAAATGGAAATGCTGGATTATAATACAGGTATGTATCCATAATGAGACCTGGGCTTGCCTGGTTGTCTAGGCTGACTGGTCAATGGGCCCAGCATCTACTTATCTCTGCCTTCCCAGGGCTGAAATTACAAATGTCCACCATTGGCCCCAGCTATTCTACATGGGTTCTGAGGACTGAACTCTGGTCATCGTGCTTGGTAGGCAAGTACTTTATTAACTAAGCTACCTCTCCAGGCCTGCCTTTTAATTTTTGTACTATGGATATTATTGATTACTCATTACCAATACTGGAGCATTTTGGATTTGACAATATACTTAGTTGTACTGGTAAACTTTATACTCTCATGTTTGCATGTTAAATTATTACATTTACACAGTCTTTCCTTGATTTTAGAACTAACTCCCTTTAGAATATCTTGTAAAGCAAGCCTAGTGATGTTGTATTTCTCAGCTTTTTTTTTAATCTGAGGAAGTCTTTATCACACGTCACATTTTAAAAGACAAAGTTCCTAGGTATAGTATTCTTGTTTGACAATTTTTCCCTTTCAGCGTGTTGAAGATATCATGGCAATCCTTAGTTGCATGCAAGGCTTCTACTGAAAAATCTACTGATAAGTTTAGGTTGCTTTGTATGTGGGAATTAATTTCCCCTTGTTTTCAAAACTCTCTAACCATTAACTATTTGATGATGATGATAATGATGCTGAGTGTGTGTCCTTGCAGGTTCCTCTTATTTGATGTCATTTGAAATTTTTGAGTCTGGAATTCTATTTACTCCCTCAAGATTAGGAAGTTTAATGCCATATTTCTTCAAATACATTCTTTTTCCTCCTCCTGGTTACCCTATCCTATTTCTGTAACATTAATAATTAGCCTGTTATATTTGGTAGTATACCATAAGGCCCCCAAACTACCCTGTGTTTTCTTTTCACTCTTCAAAGTGCATTATTTACAGTGGCCTACCTATAAGTTCACTTGCCATTTTGTCTGTTTGATGTAGTCTACTATTAAACTCCTCTGTTGACAACTGAACCATGCTAGTGGGAACTCACGAACTTTAGACCAACAGCTGTGGATCCTGCATAGGACCAGACTAGGCCCTCTGCATGAGGGGAACAGTTGTGTGACTTGGTATGTTGAGGGGCCCCTGGCAGTGGGATCAAGATCTACCCCTGGTGCATGAGCTGGCTTTTTGGAGCCCATTCCCTATGGTGAGAGGCCTTGCTCAGCCTTGATGCAGTAGGGAGGGGCTTGGTCCTGCCTCAGCTGAATGTATCAGGCGTTATTGATTCCCCATGGGAAGCCTTACTTTTGTAGGAAGGGGTGGGCGTGGGAGGAGGGATGAGGGGTATCTGTGGTTGATATATAAAATGAATTTTTAAAAATCTTGAATAAAAATAAATAAATAAAACCCCTCTGTTGACTTTCTTCAGTTCAATTATGGTAGTCTCCTATATGACTAACCTCTTTCAAGAAAGAATAAGTAACTGGTTCTACAATGGAGTGAACTAGAAGGAAGTTCATGAAGTGTTGACCTCTGGCTCAGGCAGCAAGAAGGCTGCTTGTTTGCACCAACAGATTCCAGGAGTATAGTCCCTTAGACCATGCCCATTGTGAACTACTGGGGATCTTTGCATTTCATCTCTTTGTTTTGTGATCCAAGAAGAGTCAGGTATGTGTAATACCCTCTGACTTAAGAACCAATTAATTTATGATGTAGTCCCTGAATAATTCTACTCACAAGGATAGTCTTCACTAGGGAAGACGGACAGGTAGTGTTTGAGAAATTCCAATCTCTTTCTTAGGCTGCTGGTGGGTTATCATCTGTCTGTACATCCCTTTGTTCCCCAACACAACTTAGTTAGAAGCCAGGGTATCAAGCAGCCACTGAGAACAGAAGTCATAAACTATTCACCAGGGTGAAGGAGTCTGTGTTTTCTAAACCTCTTCTATGCAGTTTCTGCAGGTTGCCTACATAAAACCCCAACATCTTTTTTTCCTAAGGTTCAGTGCTATTGCATGTATATAACACCCTGCACTCTCAAAGCTGGTGAATTAAGCACAAAACTGTGAAGTTCTGTCCCATTAGGACACAGTATTCGACATCTAAACCCTCCTCTGCAAAAGAATTTGGGTGTCTGGAAAGCCTTCCTCTGATTTTATTATGCAGTGTCTGGGACAGGGTCCATGCTCATGTGTGACTTAGTTTTTCCTCCTGGCTGAATGTGGATGTTCTCTAGCTGCCCTGCAGAAGGAAGAGACTCACCTGTGTTTCACTTTCTTTCACAGAGAAATGATCTTCCATGGATAGCAGAACAGCCTGGAAATTGCTTGCCAGCCATGCTGCTCATGTCCTCCTCTTTAAGTTGTACAGAAAACCCTTTTGACAAAGAATACACTTCAAGTCCCTTAAACATAATAGCAGAATCTTCAACACTAAGTTCTTATTTAAATTCAATGTAATGTAATAATGCACCACCAGCAGGAACAATATGCACTTTAATCACCTACCCCTTCTCTTAAACCAATCTTACAAAACAAGTGTGATAAACAATTGAGGGGTGCTTCATTTTCAGTCATCAAGAGGATAAGAAGAATTCACTTAGAAGTATTACATTATTTTTTTTTCTCATTTCCTCATCACATTTTGGAAGAGAAAATTTTAAAAAAATGTTATTGGTGTGCTTTATAATGTCATGGAGAAGAAATTATAATACCCTGTCTACAAGGACCTACTGTGCACAACACCTAAGCTTTCATCCCCATGCTCAGAACAAATCATGTTTCCCCATTTTTAAAATCTGTCAAAAAATCATGTTGCAAAACTGTGATCATACTAAGTACATACTTATGTAAAGTTTATAGACAATGAGTCTATAGCACGTCTTAACTTGTAAAGCTTTTGAAAGTTCCCAATGTTGGTTATTCTTATTCAGCCTTTCTTGATATTTACCATTTTGTTTTTACTTTTTACATCCTCTAAGCATTTAAAAATATGATTTTAAAATTAATATCTTTTAAATATCCTCAGTTGTATTTTCTTTCATGATGCCAAAGCAGTTTTGCCTTCTGAACTGAAAAACACTTGAGATTAGGGATATTATGCCTCATGATGTTTTTATATCTACCCATAATAACCTACTTCATCGATCTGCACACAGTAGGCACTTAATGAATATACTTAGTGATTGGCTCAAGGGCCCTGCAGATGCTTGAGTTGGTAGCAGACATGTGAATTACCCCATGATAGACTTTAATATCTCCTTGCTCTTTGTAGGGAGATGGAAATGGTTGTTTTTTTTTTTTTTTTTT